GTATGAGAGACTGGTGTCAACATGTCCCTGTATGAGAGACTGGTGTCAACATGTCTCTATATGAGAGACTGGTGTCAACATGTCTCTGTATGAGAGACTGGTGTCAACACTTCTGTATATGAGAGGCTGGTGTCAACATGTCTGTATGAGAGACTGGTGTCCACACTTCTGTATATAAGAGACTGGTGTCAATATGTCTGTATGTGAGGCTGGTGTCAACATGTCTGTAGGAGAGACAGGTGTGAACATGTCTGTATGAGAGGCTGGTGTCAACATGTCCCTGTATGAGAGGCTGGTGTCAACATGTCCCTGTATGAGAGGCTGGTGTCAACATGTCCCTGTATGAGAGGCTGGTGTCAACATGTCCCTGTATGAGAGGCTGGTGTCAACATGTCCCTGTATGAGAGACTGGTGTCAACATGTCCCTGTATGAGAGACTGGTGTCAACATGTCCCTGCATGAGAGACTGGTGTCAACATGTCTCTATATGAGAGCCTGGTGTCAACATGTCTCTGTATGAGAGACTGGTGTCAACATGTCCCTGTATGAGAGGCTGGTGTCAACATGTCTGTATGAGAGACAGGTGTCAAAATGTCCCTGTATGAGAGGCTGGTGTGAACATGTCCATGTATGAGAGACTGGTGTCAACATGTCCCTGTATGAGAGACAGGTGTCAACATTTCTCTGTATAAGAGCCTTGTGTCAACATTTCTCTGTATAAGAGCCTTGTGTCAACATGTCTGTATGAGAGGCTGGTGTCAACATATCCCCGTATGAGAGGCTGGTGTCAACATGTCCCGGTATGAGAGACTGGTGTCAACATGTCCCTGTATGAGAGGCTGGTGTCAACATGTCTGTATGAGAGGCTGGTGTCAACATGTCTGTATGAGAGACTGGTGTCAAGATGTTCAATATGAGAGACAGGTGTCAACACGTCTCTATATGAGAGACTGGTGTCAACATGTCCCTGTATGAGAGACTGGTGTCAACATGTCCCTGTATGAGAGACTGTGTCAACATGTCCCTGTATGAGAGACTGGTGTCAACACGTCCCTGTATGAGAGACTGGTGTCAACATGTCCCTGTATGAGAGGCTGGTGTCAACATGTCTGTATGAGAGACTGGTGTCAACATGTCTGTATGAGAGACAGGTGTCAACACATCTCTATATGAGAGACTGGTGTCAACATGTCCCTGTATGAGAGACTGGTGTCAACATGTCCCTGTATGAGAGACTGGTGTCAACACGTCTCTATATGAGAGACTGGTGTCAACATGTCCCTGTATGAGAGACAGGTGTCAACATGTCCCTGTATGAGAGACTGGTGTCAACATGTCTCTGTATGAGAAGCTGGTGTTAATATGTCTGTATAAGAGACTGGTGTCAACATGTCTGTATGAGAGACTGGTGTCAACATGTCCCTGTATGAGAGGCTGGTGTCAACATGTCCCTGTATGAGAGATGTGTGACCATTTTTTTCCTTAAGTTGTATTCAATATTTGTGAAATTTTATGATTTTTAAAACAGTACCTCAAAACCTCAGGAAATAAATATCAATTGTCAAAAAAGAAACAAAGATAAAGAAAATGAAGGATACTTTATTTAGTGATTTCAACCGCATTCAAACAGTGACAAAATATTTTTTATGTTTGCAATGTAGTATTCTCACTTCAGAGAAAATGAATAAAACTCCATAATCATACACCAGTATCCATAACATCTGTAGGATTAATGAAAAGTATATATGATAATCACAAAAATAATGCCACAGCACAGTAGCTCACCTAGATATGACGTCAACAGAGACGGACACTTAACAATCACTGATGTAGCATTTTCTACTAAAATATTTTCTGCTTAAATACTGATGACAAAAGTATTAAATATGAAACAAGCATCTAAATTTCCACAGTGCTTCCAAATCTGCAAGAAAGACTGCATGTACTATTGTAGAGCATTGTTGCAATACACATTAGTAATGCGGTTTTTTTAATGCCAGAATATATGTGTTAGGCACCACTACAAACTACAGAGGTACCAAATGTTTGGAAATAATAACAGAGTAATAACATATTTCAGCTTTTAGTATGATGTATGAATTGCAAAGGTCAAATCAAGATCAAATTATAAAATATCAGAAAAACTGGACCATATAGTTTGAGCTCCACTACAAAATTTCATTCCAGCTTGAACAAAAGTGACCAAGAAAAGGCTCTAAATAGGTCTTTCAACATAGTCGCCCTGTCAGACATATCAAAATTTGCATTAGAACCCTTTGAAAAATTCAGTTGTCATCATTAGTTGGTACAAGCATGTGAAGTTATAGGTATGCTGGTTCAGCGGCTGGTGAGGAGACGACGTTTACAGTGAAAGGAAATGCATTTTGATTTAGAATTTAGGAGCATTAAATACAGGTCAAAATTGATAATATCACGAAAAACGGACCATATGTGTTGAGCCCCACTACCAATGACACACATGACAAATTTTATGATATTCTGAAAGAAAGTGTTCGAGTAAGGGCCAAATGAAGTTTCAGCTTTCAGTATGGTCAAAGTGCAACTGTCAAAATCAATTTGATTTAACCTCTTGAACAAATTGTGGTGGCATCATCGGTGGGGACAAGCACGAGAAGCAGAAGTTGCATTGGTATCATGGAGGAGAAGATGCTTACACGACAGACACCAGTCGAACGGGCCACAGCATAAGCTCACTTGACTTTCAGTCAGGTGAGCTGATTAAAAATATACATGAAGAGGAATCATTCAACATAAAGCATTCACAAGAAAACCTGTGATTGAAGTTCAACATAGTAAGAGGAAAAACAAGGTCATATAAATTCAATATCTCTTCCAAATGTGATGAAACTTGGTATGCAGGACTCCAGTCTGCTGATCTCATTATAGGCTAGATATTACAACCAAATCACTTGCTTGCCAAAAAGACTCACAGTCACACATCAGTGAGCGGGTGAGCTTAATTTCACATTACTTTATTAACATCTATACCAAGGCATTACTGCATTTGCCATATTAAACACCTTTCTTCCATAAGTGGCCCTGACCAACTTGTAGAACAATTTGTACGTATAACCTTCATGAGTGAGTGAGTGAGTAAGTATGGTTTTACGTCTCTTGAAGCAATATTCCAGCAATATCAAGGCAGGGGACACCAGAAATGGGCTTCACAGATTGTACCCATGTTGGGAATCAAACCTGGGTCTTCAGCGTGGCGAGTGAACACTTTAACCTCTAGACTACCCGACCGCCCTCTTTATAAGAGCCCGTACTAAGACCGAACATTTACATGACAGTCCATACTTTCTCATGCATATTACAGTTTTTAATATAGAAAATAGTAACTTAGAAAAGGTATACAAGTGCAAAAAATGTTTTTGAGTTTCACTGACATCTGAACAAAGTTCATTCACTAGAGCTTGATTTCTGACAACAAATTTAACTTGCTGTGTATGTTTTTAATAAGCGCCTCTCTTTATCAATTTTCTAAGCGCGCAGTGCAATTATTACGGCACCCAAAGAGAACTCAATTATGACATGTTCTTAATGTCTGGAAGCTTAAAATTAACACTTGATGAAGACCAAAATAGTAAACACTAATTTTACATCTACACGTCTGTCAGGGGATTGAATCATTCTCATTCTCCCTTTACAAGCAATGTTACTTCAAAATAGATGGGCCAGCAATAATGTTACTTCAAAATAGATGCGCAAGCAATAATGTCACTTCAAAATAGATGCGCAAGCAATAATGTCACTTCAAAATAGATGCGCAAGCAATAATGTCACTTCAAAATAGATGCGCAAGCAATAATGTCACTTTAAAATAGATGTGCAAGCAATAATATTTTCCAAATATGATAGGATCCATGAAGATCCGGGATAGAATAGGTCTTCAGCAACCCATGCTTGCCGTAAAAGGTGACTATGCTTGTCGTAAGAGGCGACTAACGAGATTGGGTGGTCAGGCTCGCCGACTTGTTTGATGCATGTAATTGTATCTCAATTGCCTGGATTGATGCTCATGATGTCAATAACTGGATTGTCTGGTCCAGACTCGATTATTTACAGACGACCGTCATATAGCTGGAATATTGCAAAGTAACAACTCAACCAACCAACCAAATATGACAGAATAGGACAGAACATGAAAATACAGTAAACTACCGTTATAAAGAACACGCTTATAACGATCTGACGGGTATCACGACGGGGGACACCAGAAATGGGCTTCACACATTGTACCCATGTCGGGAATCGAACCCGGGTCTTCAGTGTGACGAGCGAACGCTTTAACCACTAGGCTACCCGACCGCCCCTGCTTACAATGAACTAAGGTTATAACGAACTAAAAATAGTAGTCCCTTTAAGTTCGTTATAACCGTAGTTTACTGTAGACAAAAATTCTAAAAGTGATGATAATATATGCTTTAAACATTGACTGACAATCTTACAAATAGAACAAGCAGGATACTTTTGGTCTTGTTGATCATTTTTGAGAGTTTTTAATAATGATCGATGTCTTCATTCTTAAAAAAAGTAAATAAATATGGCATATTTTCAAATTTTCAATATCTTGCTGACAAAAGTGAAATATAAAAATGACACATAAAAAAATATACAATATCCAAAATGATGAAGTCTTCATTTTATCTCTTATAGTCTAGTTGATATACATGAGCCTATTAAACATGATTCTAGAGAAGCAGAGTACATACATAATAACGATTATATTTATGCTTAGTCTATTTTTAGAAATACAAGTGGCCAGTCAAATGACCAGTTCCAACATGGTGCCGTTCACATAACAACACATATTTAGCATTATATGTTTTATTGAAACTGAAGATTCTTAGCATAATTGGTTTGGCAAACCTGTGCATAAGCATTACATTCCTTTTTACTGAGTCTTTTTCAAGAAGAAAAAACAAAGCATATTTCTTTATGAAACCATCAGTCACTGTATAAATTCCCCCCCCCCCCCCCCCCCCCCTCCAATATTTAAAAAGGTGTCTCTCATGCATGCCTAATTGCTCCACATTTGTTGAGATATTTAACTGAGCATCTTGAGATCATTCATGATGACAACACATTCAGACAGAACATATTCATGAGCATTTCATGAGAATTTTTGCATGCTTTAAAGGGTTCATATTTTTGGAGATTAATAACAATATATCTGGAGATGAATACCACCAAACATGATGCATATAATATAATCATCAACATGATAATAATCTTTCTCAATCTCTGGTTATTTATTAGAAAAATAGTACTCATATTCTACATGTTTACTATAATAAATGAGTAATATGAAATATGACATTTTGAATAATCATAATTTTCCAATTAGACAATAGCTGTAGAGGTAAATGGATACACATTGAAGTGGACTTTGGAAAAAAATAAACAATGATAAAAACAAGAACATGGTAACAAGGTGAAATTGAAATCTGAAATGATTAATGACCAGATGGTTTGTATCCTAGTGATGGAAAAACATTCAAAGAGCATTCATAGAAAACAGAACAACTCCTGCACAAACTTGCAGGAACCAGCTGATGAAATGTACAAGCAGTGATATAAAGGACACATTCACACAAACATCTGGAATCTACATTATTCCTTCCAGAATGAACAGGACAAAATAGCTGGCCTCATGTTTTACAAAACAACAGGTGGCCCCCTAGCAGGTACAGACAACTGTCTCCAACAGGTGGCCCCCTAGCAGGTACAGACAACTGTCTCCAACAGGTGGCCCCCTAGCAGGTACACACAACTGTCTCCAACAGGTGGCCCCCTAGCAGGTACAGACAACTGTCTCCATGAGATGGCCCCCTAGCAGGTACAGACAACTGTCTATATATTGTATTTACTTATATCTTTATTCAGGTTGGTGGCGATACAATATTTCATAAACATGACATTTAAAATTATTTATTGTTTTCATTTTCTCAGTGTTTGAGTCGGTGGATCCGTGAACAAACTGAAAAAGAAATGACTGTACATAATGTAAAATGTGTACACAGAAATTAAGGTCATACAAAAAGAATGTCTTTATTAAAATGGCGAATGAAAATATGACCTTCCTGAGCATGTGTCTTGTTACTAACATACTACATAGTCACTGATACACACAGCAAATAAATGCAATAAATGCTCAGTTCCACAAAAATATATGGTCCACACATATTTGTCTATACAAATTCCAAATGTGTATCATCTAAAATAAGATTTGTATTCAGATCTTTCTGTACAAAATTGCCCCTGATAACGATTGTATTGCATAAAATAGGCCTGTAGCTCACCCAAGTTTTCTGATGTATTTTCATATATATATATAACCTCCCTGCATGTAGATTATTAGATACAATGATGATAACTTGCTGCGTAGAGGGCACATGATTGCTAAAGTAACCACAGCAGTACATAAAGGTCAACTATCCAAGATGAGTTTCACAACTGAACATGCTGATAAGACAGGTGTGAGATATGACATTTTCAATATGGCCGCCAGGAGATGCCATTGCTGGGATGATCCCTGGGAAGTTCTAGCTGCATGGGTTTTATGGTTTCAGCAGAGATGTCGAAAGTGTAGAGGCTTTCGCCATACACATGAATTAGGTAACAGAGGAAGTTAATGTGCTATGACAAACTCTAGTGCATGGTTCCCACTGTGCAACAAACACTCCCTTGTGATATTCTAATTCTAAGCCCTGACAAAGTTGTCTCCTTGTTTTACAGATGAACCTGTCACCCACTATTTTAATGACATAAACAGTTGCAACAAATTACTGTGTTTCATGGTTTTATGACTGTTTAGATTGCCATATTATTCGTAATATAAATGAACTTATTCAAGAGATCTTTTTCAATCAAGAGGAACCACAAAAATAGCATAAAAGTTTACATTGAATGTTACTTGACCTTCAGTCAACACTGACCACATATTGCGCATCAATAATCTTGCCAAATGTCTGTACAATAATGGTGAACGGGCATGTCCCAAAAGAAGGTGGAAGGACAACTGTGTCTACACAGTTTCAATGGAGCAGAGCATGACAAGAAGTAACATACATAAACTCAATCAAAGTGAGATACACAAAAAGTTCAAATCTCTGAAAATATACTGGCCCTATATTCATTTCTATCACCTCCATGTCAGAATGATGAGATCAGATTGATCTTGATAAAAACACAAGCTTCACATGGATTTCTGAGTGGGAGAATAGATCTCTTATACCCTGCCTCGAAACAAAAAGTTGTACGCTTTTTCCGAGTCAATGAACTGCACGTGACACAGCACAAGTTAACCTCAGCTCAATCAAACAGCTGTTTTCTTTCAAGTTTGAATTTGTTTTAATTGCTTTACAATGGCAAATAATGGTAAGATAAATTTGTTGTAGCAGTGCCACTTGAGGTACATGTGGTTCTATGCGCCCCCAGCTCGTAGTATAAATCCTAACACGGGAAGCATAAAACCACTTAAACCATGGCACCTTTGTCTTTGACTGTGGTCTAACTAACTAAATTGTTAGTTAAACACCACTTGGCAATGACGGAACTTCTTTTTTCCCCCCATCATTTGTCTTGATGATAGAACAATTTCATGAAAAACGTTGTAGCCAGTGCAATTCGAACCCGCGAAGTCCGCAGTGAAGGCTAACGAATGTAGTCTTAACAACTAAATATTTACTTATATCAGTACCAATTGCTTATCCCTTTATGAACTGCAAAATGTGTTTAATGCAATTTGTATACAGTATGTTACTCTATGCATACTAGTATTTGTACAGTACTTGTGATTTTGTAGCTTTTCATTCAACAAAACGAACAGATAGAAAAGAAATCACTATTATCTTGATCAGGGCTATATTTGCTCATAATAGGCCCATCAACATGGGCAAGTAATATTTAGTCGGGGGAACACATTTCATGTGCTTCATGCAGGGCAGACTCACACAGCGTTCTCACAGTTGAGCATAGATTTCCTGAATATCTTTCAAACTACCATTAACAAAACAATTTTAGTTTTTTACGCATTTTAGGTGCCATAAATGTTGGACATGGTTTAAGCTGCGCGCCTCGTAGTTTAATTAACCATTTCAACGATTAGACACTGGGTCCTCGTGGTCTAACCTATACCTATACCCCGAGTGATACAGCTGCAACCTATAGTAGGAGTTTTTGTTTTTGTTTCAGTAAACTTGGAGGTGTATTTCACCAAAAATTACTGTGGAACCCTCCAGTTTTGTTTTGATGTGTGTTCACTGTCTTCACAGATCCTTGCATTGCCAGCTGAACAGAAATCCAAGAGAACGGAATATATACACATCCACAACATTATTTAACTCCCACGTCTCAACCTTTGGTGAACACGTTATTCTAAAGTTTACATCAACCAATCATCCATTTGTTCCAAGAAAGAACCTATCAAAACTGGTTATTTCAGCATAGATTTACTGAAACAACAGTATCATATGTGCTGGTGATTAGGTGCCTCACTCTGAGAGAGTGGGTTTCGATTCCCGCATGGGACTCAACCCAAACAAGTACTAGGATTTGTACTTTACTTAGAAAGCGTTATCTAAAATATAACATTTATTACATTTAACCACTTTCTAATTGTGTATCACAATTAGATCTTATTCAGGATGACAAGAAAGATGCAGATTTATATACTGGCCTAATTTTACACTAAAATACCAATGTACTTTTACATACACCCTCTGAGAAAAATGATCCATGTTATTCCAGGATGAGTTTTTAAACCAATATTCCACTTTGTTACAGCCATGCTGGAACACTTATCAAAGGGAGATAACTCTAATGAGTTGTGATACTGTGCCGAGCTAAGATTCCTGCTAACTGAGGATCTACTGTTGTAACAGGCACCAGAATATTGATCTGCTTTGCCAGTCCATCCCTGTGAAGAAGATTTTGTGCATAGCAACTCCGTTGGCTGTCGGGTGATGACATATGTCATTTGGTATTATGTGGGACTCCCATACATACACACAGCAAGTCATGTAGCAAGGAATCACGGAACATTTATTTCCACAGACGCTCTAGGTTCTTAGCAATACTCTTGACATATTACTGGTCCATATAGAACGATGACTAAGAATCTTATCTCCCTTGAAGATTTCTGGCATCAAAAACTATAAAATGCAAATACAAAAGCTTGGTTAAAAACACAATATTCAGTCATTATAGTTCCAGTCTCTGTCTCAACACATATCACAACAGTAGGCTAAAAATAACGCAATGCATGTCATAACCAGTAAGCAGTATATACAGGAATTTAAAGGCTTTAAAGAAGAAGCAAAACAGAACCAGCATGTGAGCAATATCATCCTGTGATATGTTTAATTGATACCTTGAAAATGTACTATATAAATGGCAGAAACCAAAATCAGTGGTCAGGTCCCTTTGATTGAGGTAATATATAGTTGCCTGGAGATTTGGTCAGTTTGAAGTCAGTTTGAAGTCAGTTTGAAGTCAGTTTGAAGTCAGTCCATCAAGTAAATGCACTACAATTGAGTTATGTTAACCTCAACCATTTCGGAACCTTATAACTACTAGAGTGAGTGAGTGAGTTGGGTTTAACGCCGCTTTTAACAGTATTCCAGTTACATCACGGCGTGTCAGCTTAATGTTTGAGGAAAGCCCAAAGTGATTCAGGTATCAGACGTTTACCACTTTGATGAAACCAACAAGCATGGGTATGGTGCTGACAAACCTAGAGACATAATCGGGGCGAACCGGGATTCGAACCCACAATCATAGGTTTCAGACAGATCCAATGAAATATTTCTTCCACCTCAACATCATGCAGGTCGCCACACACACTGTCAACAGGTTGTATTTTACAGTCTACCATTGTACATGCAAAAGGAATGACCGTAGTTGCTCTCTAATATATCCAGATCTCTTAACGTAATAAGGAAATACTGAGTACCTAGTACCAGAGAGAACATTGTCCTCTACTGCATTAACCCACCTCAAAACAACGGTGACATTCTTAACTGAGCACACGCTGAAAACACTTTTCTAGATTCAAACTGATTTGTCTTTATCAGCTGGTGCTGTTTTTCCGACTCTGCTCCTGAACACACATATTGACCAGCACATATCAAACACTGGTGTCCTTGCTATCAGTTGGTAGCTGGCCGTTTGATATGAGTTTGACGGGATGTTTGTCAACAGTGTCTTCCTGCCATAACGGCGGTGATGTTTCTTCTGTCATCTGTGAGCGGAGACTGTTGCGGAATTTCTGTAAAAACAAAAGTGGGAGTTTCTTGAATATTGTTTCATGGCCTAGTCAGCAATATTCAAGCTATATCACAGCAGCAAAGTATATACTGTATCTAGGTAATCTAAACACCCAGTTCTAAGCATGAAAATTGTATGAGAGGTCTATTTTCTTGCATATAATACAATTTTCTAAGTCCCCTGGGTGCCTATTATGACAAATACAGTAATCAAGGCTGGACCAGCGGTTGATAGCAGGAACAACAATTCAGCCAGGGTCAGATTACCGTATTAAAATACGTTGTCAACTCTGCTATCAGTAGAATAGTAACAAACATGAACTAAGATATAATATTGTTAATAAAATACCACAGGCGATGGTGAGGATATAGCATTCTCAATGGATGCCCCAAGCACAAGATTTCACAGGGTGTCATAGAGGGGGCGTGTCACTTATTTTCAGGGCTCATGTCATGGGTGTCATGAGAGCTAACAAACCTGGGTATACATACTCATTTGTTCTGTGACAAACATGGGAAAGTATATGTTTTCACAAAGCCGAGAGGTAAATTATGGTAATAGTCTCTTTCCACAGATAAACATGGTATCTGTCAAGACAAAAAATATCAACATTCTGAAATGTTCTTGGAAATGCTAGAAAAGACTTTCTGATTTTGTTTGATCAATACTATTCATAGTGTTAAAAAGATAGATATCACAATAACGCAAACCTACCTGACCTTGACTTTTGTTACTAAAATCGATTATCATTCACAAAAACATACATTTACAGGTAAAATGAAGATATTTTTGTGTGTATGAGACACATTCTCTGAAACAAGCTAGAACTAGACCAGAGCTCCAGATAAGCTGACTATCTGCATAAAATACGCATCAGAAATGCAGAAATACGCAGTAAAATAAAATCCAAGCGTATCAAATATGCAACGAACATTACAGATACACTACAAAAATAACACTCGTGCGTATCATCAAAATATTGTGAAGTAACCCTGCATATTCGATTAGCAAATCAGCAACTATTTTTGAAATTATAAATGGGCATTCCGTCAACCTTGCCAAACTCCATGATCACAGTTACATCATGATCATTTGCCATCACACTTTCTTGTGAAAGTATCGTGGTATTTTTGAGTCCTATAAAACTCTCGAACCCACACGACACCAGTTTGCAGGGACTAGATGAATAGTGTTTTTAAATATTTAACTTAAATACCCACATGTGTAAAAAACTAGTGGGTAACAGAAATTTGAATATCCAGATAGAATTACTGATACCCAATGATTTTAAAATGCATGGGTAAAATACCCACAACACCAAAAGCTTATCTGGAGCTCTGACTAGACGTGACTACCTGACACCTGTTCCGTGTCATCTCACAGGTGTAAATGGCACCCAAGTTGACAATCAAGTTGAAGGGTCATCTCGAAATATACTTTAGGTATACTTAACAGAATGTTTAAGTATGTGATTGAGGAGGTAGCAGTAAATGTGTACTGTATTATTTTGGTTGTGAAATGGTAGAATGGCTTAAAATGTTGGTCAACATGCAATGTTTATTAATTATGTATATTTTAATCATCATTTACAGAAACAGCAAAGGAGTAATTGTTTCTTTTCTCAATCTTTCCAAGTGAAGTTAATGAAATCTAACATTAATCAGTTGAAAGATCGTAAATTTTGTGGTTTATGCTGACAGCCTGAAATGATACAAAAGAAAAGTCTGTGCGTATTACACACGACAGATATATTTTGCCAGAATTTATTTGCCCGTAATTAAGGGTGCATATAACACACGAGGCCGAATTATACCCGAATAAATAAGTCTTGTGTACATTGATCAGTCGGAAGGGTGCTAATTGGGATTGTTCACTTGCCAATATACTGGCAAAAATGGTCGTGGGCGCTTATTACGTTGAATACGGTACTTGAGAAGAAATAGAAAAATCTTAAATGGTTTTCTGTTGGTAAATGTTTGCTCTACCATGTGTGGTGTAATAACATATAGTTTGGCCCTGATCTGTTATAGTTCAGCATTAGGATGCCTGCAGGAGCGGAAGTTTCATCCACTCTATGAAGCTTCACCATTCATTTCCCCGTGTTCGTCCAGCTGTTCTGGGCATCAAACCCCCGACCTTCCGCTCTCTACCACTAGACCATGAAGGTGGTGGGCATCAAACCCCCGACCTTCCGCTCTCTACCACTAGACCATGAAGGTGGTGGGCATCAAACCCCCGACCTTCCGCTCTCTACCACTAGACCATGAAGGTGGTGGGCATCAAACCCCCGACCTTCCGCTCTCTACCACTAGACCATGAAGGTGGTGGGCATCAAACCCCCGACCTCCCGCTCTCTACCACTAGACCATGAAGGTGGTGGGCATCGAACCCCCGACCTTCCGCTCTCTACCACTAGACCATGAAGGTGGTCAGCATCAAACCCCCGACCTTCCGCTCTCTCCCACTAGACCATGGAGGTGGTCCGTATCAAACCCCCAACCTTCCGCTCTCTACCACTAGACCATGAAGGTGGTCAGCATCAAACCCCCGACCTTCCGCTCTCTCCCACTAGACCATGGAGGTGGTCCGTATCAAACCCCCAACCTTCCGCTCTCTACCACTAGACCATGGAGGTGGTCAGCATCGAACCCCTAACCTTCCGCTCTCTCCCACTAGACCATGGAGGTGGTCAGCATCGAACCCCTGACCTTCCGCTCTCTACCACTAGACCATGGAGGTAGTCAGCATCGAACCCCCGACCTTCCCCTCTCTACCACTAGACCACGGAGGTGGTCAGCATCGAACCCCTGACCTTCTGCTCTCTACCACTAGACCACGGAGGTGGTCGGCATCAAACCCCCGACCTTCCCCTCTCTACCACTAGACCATGAAGGTGGTCAGCATCGAACCCCTGACCTTCTGCTCTCTACCACTAGACCATGAAGGTGGTGGGCATCGAACCCCCGACCTTCCGCTCTCTACCACTAGACCATGGAGGTGGTGGGCATCGAACCCCCAATCTTCTGCTCTCTACCACTAGACCACGGAGGTGGTCAGCATCGAAGCCCTGACCTTTTGCTCTCTACCACTAGACCATGAAGGTGGTGGGCATCGAACCCCCGACCTTCTGCTCTCTACCACTAGACCATGGAGGTGGTCAGCATTGAACCCCCGACCTTCCGCTCTCTACCACTAGACCATGGAGGTGGTGGGCATCGAACCCCTGACCTTTCGCTCTCTACCACTAGACCTTGAAGGTGGTGGGCATTGAACCCCCAACCTTCCGCTCTCTACCATTAGACCATGAAGGTGGTGGGCATCGAACCCCCGACCTTCCGCTCTCTACCAATAGACCACGGAGGTGGTCAGCATCGAACCCCCGGCCTTCCGCTCTCTACCACTAGACCACGGAGGTGGTGGGCATCAAACCCCCGACCTTCCGCTCTCTACCACTAGACCATGGAGGTGGTCAGCATCAAATCCCTGACCTGACGCTCTCTACCACTAGACCACGGAGCTGGTCGGCATCAAACCCCCGACCTTCCGCTCTCTACCACTAGACCACGGAGGTGGTGGGCATCAAACCCCCGACCTTCCGCTCTCTACCACTAGACCATGAAGGTGGTGGGCATCGAACCCCCGACCTTCTGCTCTCTACCACTAGACCATGAAGGTGGTTGCCATCAAACCCCCGACCTTCCGCTCTCTACCACTAGACCACGGAGGTGGTCAGCATCAAACCCCCGACCTTCCGCTCTCTACCACTAGACCATGAAAGTGGTCGGCATCGAACCCCCGACCTTCTGCTCTCTACCACTAGACCATGAAGGTGGTTGCCATCGAACCCCCGACCTTCCGCTCTCTACCTCTAGACCACGGAAGTGGTCGGCATCAAACCCCCGACCTTCCGCTCTCTACCACTAGACCATGAAGGTGGTTGCCATCAAACCCCCGACCTTCCGCTCTCTACCACTAGACCACGGAGGTGGTGGGCATCAAACCCCCGACCTTCCGCTCTCTACCACTAGACCATGAAAGTGGTCGGCATCGAACCCCCGACCTTCTGCTCTCTACCACTAGACCATGAAGGTGGTTGCCATCGAACCCCCGACCTTCCGCTCTCTACCTCTAGACCACGGAAGTGGTCGGCATCAAACCCCCGACCTTCCGCTCTCTACCACTAGACCATGGAGGTGGTCGGCATCAAATCCCCGACCTTCCGCTCTCTACCACTAGACCACAGAGACGGTCCAAAATGTTAAAATATCTTCCCTTATATACAGTAACAGTCAAAGAGTCTGGAATTGTAACAAGTTGAAATCCAAGTCTTACCTGTAAAAGATTATTTCCTTTTGCCTTGTAGACAGCATGGACCATGCCCAGAGGTATACACACCATCGACACAAGGGCCATGACCCAGCCCAGGGCTTGTGCCCATTGTGGATACTTGTACCCTGCCATTGAGAGAGGCTTGTACTGTATCATGCTGAACACCAATATTCCCTGAAAGTAGGACATAAAATCATGTAAGTTCGTATCTCTCAATAAAATCAGATCTTTTAACACTAATTCAAAATCTCCATTAGAGGTCACATTAGGTTTGTTTGTTTGTTTGTTGTTTAACGCCGTATTCAGCAATATTTCAGCTATATGATGGCAGGCTGTAAATAATAAAGTCTGGACCAGACATCCAGTGATTGACATCATAAGCATCGATCCCTGCAATTGGAACATGATGTCATGCATCAACCAAGTAAGTAAGCCTGACCACCCGATCCCGTCAGTCGCCTGTTACGACAAGCATAGTCACCTGTTACAGCAAGCATTGGTTGCTGAAGACCTATTCTACCCCGGATCCTCACGTGTCCACATTAGGTGAACAAATTCTGCTCATTGAAAATGAAGGATGTGTGGGTTCTCGCGCCCATCAGATGTCAGCTTCCTCAAATGATTCACTTCACAACATTCTCAATTTTGTCAACATTATCTGTTGTCTGTCATTGTGTTTCTGGTTGCTATATTTCTTTACCATTTTGATTTAAAAAATTTGGTCTTGACAAAAGAAATCCCATGCACCTAAACTTTCCCTTGATAGTTCACCCTTTTGGGTAACAGGTCAATAATACAGCCAATATTATTCTCCATTTGGAATGGCTCATCTGTATTTAATAGCATTCAAGATACAGACCTGAGCCACATATTATACAGCCTTCATGGTGATTAGACAGTTCCCCCGACAAAACCTTCAATGAAGGGTATTTAAGATCTTGAAAGGTGTTGAATCAAAGTAATGGGGGAGGAAGTACAAACTATTCAGGCTGAAGGCATTTATGACCTTGGTGAAAGCAGACGTTTCCCATTTCATGCCACTAATCTTCATTTGTTTCACAAATATTCCCGCTGCATTCGAGGGTACTGAGGCTGAAGTACGAGTAGGTGATGAAATGGTTTTTGTTTTTTGCCTTTCAGCAAATTACAGCCATATCACAGTGATCTTTAAAACATGCTGTCTCAATATATCACCATCTGATTTCCGTGGATTGCAGAATTTGCAAAGCATGTGCACTGCCAACTCGTTGTCAGCAGATATTTTCCAAGTCTTTTCATGTTTTTAATCAAGATGCTCACGTGATTTGATGCATTTCGCGATGTAAGACCCATTTTATCACAATTTAGATCTTGATTATCGATCAGATCATTTTGACTGTGCGCCACCATTTTGTGTGAAGCAAACAGAAGTGATACGAGAGGTGGAATTGGTTGGTCCATAGGAGAGGCTTAGAAGGGACATAACTGGTAATAGCCACTGGTGGCGCTATGATTGAGCCCAGTAATTCCAGCCTAGTTCGGCAAGGGTGGAAACTGGACTTTTATAGTCAGTTAACTCTCTAGCCTTGGGAAGATGTATATCACAAACATAGAGCCTCCCAACTTATGAAGTAATAATTTTATGTCACATCAATCATATTTAGGTACAAATATCTGTAGTGAGTTAAGAAACATTGGTGCAAAAGATACTGTGAAAATGCGAGTGCAAACAGTGATGCCTTGAACAAAGCTGGACTTTGATAAGGTCATGACATTCACACAGAGTTTAGCCTACTCAAGTAGTAACAGAGGAGATATTTAAAAGCATGGCAAAAGTGCAACGGTCTTTCACCTGCAAAGGTCAGCATAAGTGTGGCAGATACCAGACCAGTCAACCCCTCATCATCACGATGGGAGAGATTGGTCCCAAAAAGGGGAGATTTTTAAAATAGTGAAGATAAGATAATTTTCAATTTGTATATCAAAATATTTTGAAACAATAATCAATAATTTTCTTGTACGTACAGCTTGCTTAAATTCTGTTTGCATTTTTCACCTCAAAGAATAAATCTAGCACAATCTACCCATATTACTTTCGTTCAAAGATCGTCTCAGGTAAACACACAGATATTGAAAACAAAAGATCAGTAGCTTGACCAGTTGACGACGTGTTCAATCCGACCAATTGTCAATTGTTTTGTTACAAAATACGCCAAAGAAATATTAAGTGCATTTATCCTGACACAACATGGTTGCCCATAATTTCTTTCAGATATATTGGTTGTTTTTTTCTGTCAGCAGTAGTCTGTTTACTTTGCTTCATAAATTTCCTAGAAATGTATGCCATATTTGGAAGTACTATTACATTTTACGACAATTGATGAATTAAATGAGCCTTGTTCTCATTGTTGACCTTTCTGACCTTGACGTGTATTAATCTCATTGGCTGACCAGTACCGTTGTATGCAAATTAGATTGTCGATCTGGAATGCTAGCAAAGTATAAGGCAATCAACTTGTGTAAAGTAATCACATGATAAATTCTCGTGAAATTTGATAGTTCTGTGTCTTGATATTTCTGTGCAGACGAGTAAAGATGTCAGTCGAAAGGAAATTTAAAAGTTTTACTTAAACTTTGACTTTGAAACCCTAGCTATGAGGAAGCCTGACCGTTAAACATTATTTTGACTACCGAATCAACCAATCACGCATAGTGTTGTTTCTGGAGATGCCGTTTGCTGGTCATATTTTGTTTTCATTTCTGAGAGTTTAATGACGTAACTTTGAGGTATGTTGATGTTTTAACAACATTTCTGACAAATCTGATAACCAATAAAGTTATGTATAACTGGGCCGATCATATGTATCTACGTTCTTAAATTATAGATGAATATACATGCTAAGAACATAAATAGAAGAAGGTTAATTTCATGAAGTGATAAGTACTCGGCTGAATATGTATTTCAAGTTCAACCCTTCACATTCTCCAGGCACCTGTTAGGACTATCCCAGTTTTCTTTACAGTTTACGTTGTTAAATCGTTCACCATATTGATTTAATTACCAGTTGATTACTAGACAAAGGCTCATCTGGGTCCCCCAGTGGATGGTCGTGATAAGGGTCGCTAATCCGGGATCGGGAGCTTCCCACATGCATGTATGCATACGGATTTAATCGGAAACTTGCTCGTATATTTCTGTAATTGTAACCTTCCTATTTTTTGTTTTTACTCAAGGGACAATGGAGGGGAATTTATAAAATAATTAAAATGCTGTTTTGTAGGAGAAATAGTCTCTCATGCAGGAGACCTGGGGATTTCATCAAATTGCGGGGGGGTTGACAGATCTGAGATACATATCATTGTATTATACAGGCATTTAACGTAGGAGTTCTAAGCCATGTAAGTGTTGCATTGATATTTGTATACTAACAACTGCTTTAAGAATTGCAGGTATATCATTTCCTATTTTAACTAATGAATGTATGTTTCTATCAACAGGTTTGGTCATATTGAAACAGACTATACTTCTGAGGACACAGAAGGTTTCAGAGTTGGCTCTATTATTAGCTCTGCAGTTACTTTCATTCTTACCCGAATTAAGGGTAGATAGGTAGGGTTACCACATTATTACGTGGCCTGATTTAATCAATGCTGATTGGATCATTCAAACTCTTGCCCTCTTTCCTAGTTCAAATCTGTACTTCACATTCACCCTTTGTACAAGCACGACTGTTCTATATTGGAGCCAACAATTGTTTTGATGTGTTCCATGGGTTTGTGATGATAATAGATATGTTGATTTGTTATGGGCGGCCATTCGGTCAAAAAATACAAAGGACAAAAGTACTCAATTAAGGTCAAATATTACGAATAAAGAACTAAATGTTACTATTAAAGGCCAAAATATAAAACAAACAGACGAGGGTTAAAAATACAAAGTTGAAATAAATGTCAAAAGTATGCAATATTAATAGTCATGTATTTATAATGTATAATGAACACATTGTGTATAAACATGTTGCGTTAAGCTTTGTCACCGCTAAAGGGCCTTTTCACAAATACAGTATACTGTGTAATCCAACACCTGCCTAACATTAGTACATGTATTTTGTATACAACCTTCATAAAACACTCACTTAATGCTAACCTAGGATTCATCTACAATGATCCAATAACTGTTCATGCTTGGTGCAACACGAGGGTGCTATGATGACGAGTTTTGTTTCAGATGCACATTTTCATCTGAAAAGTGATCGTTGTGCGAGAATTTGTTTTATTTGTTTTATTTAACAGTTTATTATACATTATAAATACATGCATATATATGTGTGACGTCAGACGGTGAGTGCACGAGGAATGACGTAATACATTGTGCACCTCGGCATGCTGTTATCATATACACGGCGGAACAAGCCGATTAAACTTGGAATGTTTTACAAATTGCAGCGCCATCTGGCGTTCTTTATTGTCAAAGTCCTTTCGTGCTCACTGACGTTCTTTATTGAAAACGTCCTTTCGTGCTCACTGACGTTCTTTTGTACACATTGTTCTGTCTTATGACGTCTTTTCGTAACATTTGACTATTAATATTGCGTACTTTTGACATTTATTTCAACTAGAGTTGATTGTCTCTCCAACAGTATCTAATGGTAAATGCACCGTCTCCGACCAAAATGCTGGTATTCTAAGTTTGCTATTTTCTTTACATAAACTGTAATATTGAAGCACCCAAAATGTGGAAAGTAAAGTCTAGCATGTGGCATTGTTTGAAATCTAGATCTTCAATAATTCATATCATTGGAAAGTACATATCCTAATGATGACATACATATGACATTTAAGTCAAAGTATTTTGAGAATTGACAAGTTTAATTTAATACAAGGAAATGATAGGCTAACCTTCGCAGGTAAAAGAAGGAAATATTATTGTATTTACAGTACAATAAGTAATACCTAGATTAAGTGATAGAGAAAATTACGAAAATATGAATTACCTGGATGAAACTATTTAAAAAAAACACATTTTCTTTCATATTATTTTTTATAAATACAACTTTAGAATTGTATTTACACTATGGTATACATGTACATTTAAAGACATATGTGATAGTTTATTTCAAGTTCAGTTTCCCATTTCATCCCATTCTACAAAAGGAAAAGTTTGAAAGAGATAATGATCCTAGATAAATGAAACTAATGGAATTATTTGTCATAAAAGGGAAAGCAGCATATGAAACTGAATTACGAAATTAAAACTAGCAAAATCCTTAATAGCAAAATCGTTTTGGCCTAGCTACAGCATAGAGGGAACATAACTTAAACTTGTTAAATAAACACAAGAATGCATTTATCTTGCTCCTAGACAAGATCTTTTTTATACAAATGTTATTTAAGGATACAAAATAAACAACACAGCATCATCACTATCCCCCACCATAGGGCACAAAAGACGGTTGTTTGTTCGTATAGTAGTGACCAATAAGGATGTTAAATGATGAAATGTGAAATTAATACATAAAAGGACCCTTCTCTGGGAAAAATAATTTATGACACCAATTTTCAAACAGTCTTGACAAGTATTCATAGTTAGGCATGTAAACTTTCATTCAAGTAACTTCAGTAGTTTCTGCGAAAACTTGTCCCCATTTCATGCAGTATGCACGAAGTTGAAAAGCACGGAGCAAGGCCCCTAAGTCTGTAAAACATTTATTTACGACCCTGATTTTCAAACTCATAAGAAATCATGACCAGTAAGATAATTATATTAAATTTCATTTCTCTAACTCAATTAGTTTTTGAGAAAAGTGGGCCCCATTGATTCTCCGTTCCTATATCACCCGCTGGGGTATAATTGAATAATACTAAAAACTTATGTAAATGACATGGCATTAATCAAAGTATTTGATAATTTCGATAATGCAGGTTAAAAATGAACATAATGCAAATTATTCAAAACATGAAAACTACATCACATTTACAATAGAAATGTTAACATTTTGTCATTCAGAAATTTATTATCAATTTTTTGTTTATTTGTTTATTTAATTTATGACTGCTTATGTTATTAATTCGAGATTCTAATGTACATATGGCTACTAAATAAAAAAGGCTGTTTAATCTGGGATCCATTTTGGCAGCTTTCTCACTATAAAACTTTCCATTCCTCTACTCAGTAATATGCCCCTTATTGCTTCCAATATCACGCCTTCAAACAGATAGGAAAAGCACATGTCACCATACCAAAATTAGAAAACTGTGCCAAATTCTAATGATGTTAGTAAAGCGATCAACAGTTAATGTGTAAATCTTCCCAATCGTGATGTTCTAGATCTATGTTCTAGTTCAGTTCAGTTCACTAGAATATCATACAATAATCAAGAGTACAATCTACATCAATAATTTTTAAATCTAAACTTAATTAGATCTAACATCCATTGCAGAATGTTGGAAATATGAACCCTGTCGTGTTATGATAATATACTTCATTTTCTGAGAAGATTTATATTGTGTATTTGATAATATATACATAATTGGTTATCAGTTACCTTGTACAATCACAGCATGTTACATGTAAATTAGACAGACGCTAGTTATATCAAAAAGCATATCACAGTTTCAATGAAAGGAAAAACACGGCACAGGAAGATTTCATGCGAATGTGCCCTGTCGATCACTTCAGGCTTGGCCATTCAATTTTAACATATTGATCATGAACTTCCTGCCCATAAATATACTTTATACCACCTTAATATTAACGATCACTGCTATCTTTTCACATACTAGATTTGAATATTTTCTGCCAATTAGCATCATAAATAGCACAACAATCTAGCTGCACTGTCGTTTCATCTCTAGTGTTGTGCTAAATCACCATGACACACAGTTGATAAAAATATGCAATACTTGAACAAAAAGCTTCCATTGCAGCTTAAACGTTAGCAGTCTTGCAACAATAACTGAATAGTGGGGAAAAGTAAAGCTTTCTGACCAGCCTGATCAGATTTCTTTTTCAAATTGGTTTCTGATACTAAAAAAGTTACGCGTATGTAACATGGGTGCATAATCACAATTTGCTGTCATTCGTTTGAAATTCAAACATGGCAGAAAAAGGGCGTCAGGCGTGATAAGTACTTTACTAATCTCACCATTTTTCACAATCTGTAGTAATCTATAAAATATGAGTTACACAATGTTGAAGATGAGGTGATTATGGTGATGATAGTTATGGTCATAAGTTTGGTTTTGCGCACTGACATCTTAATTCACAGTTAAAAAGAGACATTTTAAAGGGACCACATATGGTCCCGTGGCACCAAGAGGGTTAAGATAAGCATGGTGTACTGGGAACTTGTCCTGCCCCTGTGGGGTTAATTAGACTATAACGGTGGCTTACCAACAGCAGCAGAGGAGAAAGGAAGTACCAGCACACGATGAAGAACATAGGGGGATGATGTCCAGTCATCTCTTCAATGTCCCGAGCCAAGCGTCGGGCACCTGAAACCGTTGTTAACATAACTCACCCACCAAAGTATTGCACGCTACACTAGTGGTTGATATTGTGAACATCTGATAAACACTGAATCATAAGGTAGTGTAAGCATGAACGATGGCGTTTAGCATAAATGTTAATTGCAATAAAACAAATTGTCGCACCGTACTTGTATCTGTGTACGATAATAAGTGGCGACATATGCTGTTTGTTTACTCATAACAAAACCTCAGACAACACTTAGTAGTGTCTCTTTTTCATATAGGTGATATATTTGCAGTTTCATTTACAAGATATCATCAGACAGGAAAGTGAACATGTCACATCTCTGCGTAATTTCATTGTCTGAAGTTGACACAGTACCGCGCAAGTGCAATCCTCGCACAACCTTCACTTTTCAGATGTTATGAAAATGACGTAATATATTGTGCACCTCGGCATGCTGTTATCATATACACAGCTGTAACGGGAGTGGTTTAGGTGAATGAATCACTAAAGGCAGGTTGATTTGTTGATGACAGTTGTTTAATTCAATTGAATTAATGAACAGAGGCCCTGTGACAGTTGACTGAATTATTTCAGCGATGAACTGAGAACTTGTCTCCATACATAGTCAAATACAAGTGTAAATTCAAACTGCCCAGTCCCATAATGCACCCTGTCACTGAAAGTAAGGGGCTGGGGCTAGACAATAGAGACCAGAGAAACAATAGAGAAGGCAAGCGCAAGGGTGACTGTGCTATTGTAATAGTGAAGCAGGTTAGATTGGAGGGTAGACTAATACTTAGGTATTAAAATAAGAGGTGACCTTAAAATACACGTGATGATATGTACATAATAACATACCGCTACACAGCGGAACAAGACGATTAAACTTGAAATGTTTTACAAATTGTAGAGCCATCTGGCGTTCTTCATTGTCAACGTTGTCCTTAAGCAGTTCACTTTCCTTTCGTGCGCACTGATGTTCTTTAGTACACATTGTTCTTTCTTTTCAAATGACATCTTTTCGGAACATTTAACAATTATATTGCGTACATTTGACCATGATTTCAACTTTGCATTTTTTTACCTTTATTAGTAACATTTAATACTTAATTCACAACATTTGACTATTATTGCATACTTTTGTCCTTTTTTTCAACTTTGCATTTTATAACCCATAATATTTTTGTACTCCCAGGACAACTCACCATAAAACCAGGTGACAGCAATGACTTCAAAGAATGCCAGCACCATGAGTGATAAGGCAGCTGTGTAGTAATCTATCAGTTGGAAAAAATAGATCCCTCCCTGCAAAGATAAACACAACACAAACGTTTTTGTAATGAAATGTTTTTGTTATTCTATTCAAAGAGCTTCTATGGAAGGGAACCAATGAGACAACATGTTACTTTTGATCAATAGAAAAAAATCAACACACAAAGCCACACTATAAATGATGCTATACTAGAAATGAATGAAAATATGTAAGTGCTCACATTTGTATCCATTTACTGAAAATTTAGTTCAATAACATTGAAGCTATGATAAGGTCTACCAGAGGGACATTTGTGAACAGAGGGCGTTACCTGAGTTATATTTGGCAGGCCACACAGGCAAGACACCAAACACACAATAAGCACCAGGAGTTCCTTCCGGCGGAGATACTTTTTTATCTTTTCCCCGAAGTGATCAGAGATGGCAGTAACAATGACCTCCACGGAGGCAAACTGAAAACATCAACAGTTTCCGTCTTCACATGTCAATTCATTGGATGCTTCTGAATATACTTACATGGAGGCTCATCACCAGCACTGGTGAGTTGACAATGGGGCAGTCAACCTCAGGGAATGGAGCCACCAACAGGACTGTCAGTGGCCATAAGTGTTTATGATCAACAATATTTTGACATCAGGGATTTTAACTTCTTCTGTCACCAACAGGACTGTCAGTGGCCATAAGTGTTTATGATCAACAATATTTAGACATCAGGGATTTTAACTTCTTCTGTCACCAACAGAACTGTCAGTGGCCATAAGTGTTTATGATCAACAATATTTAGACATCAGGGATTTTAACTTCTTCTGTCACCATCAGGACTGTCAGTGGCCATAAGTGTTTATGATCAACAATAATTAGACATCAGGGATTTTAACTTCTTCTGTCACCAACAGGACTGTCAGTGGCCATAAGTGTTTATGATCAACAATATTTAGACATCAGGGATTTTAACTTCTTCTGTCACCATCAGGACTGTCAGTGGCCATAAGTGTTTATGATCAACAATATTTAGACATCAGGGATTTTAACTTCTTCTGTCACCATCAGGACTGTCAGTGGCCATAAGTGTTTATGATGAACAATATTTAGACATCAGGGATTTTAACTTCTTCTGTCACCATCAGGACTGTCAGTGGCCATAAGTGTTTATGATCAACAATATTTAGACATCAGGGATTTTAACTTCTTCTGTCACCATCAGGACTGTCAGTGGCCATAAGTGTTTATGATCAACAATATTTAGACATCAGGGATTTTAACTTCTTCTGTCACCAACAGGACTGTCAGTGGCCATAAGTGTTCATGATCAACAATATTTAGACATCAGGGATTTTAACTTCTTCTGTCACCAACAGGACTGTCAGTGGCCATAAGTGTTTATGATCAACAATATTTAGACATCAGGGATTTTAACTTCTTCTGTCACCATCAGGACTGTCAGTGGCCATAAGTGTTTATGATCAACAAGATTTAGACATCAGGGATTTTAACTTCTTCTGTCACCAACAGGACTGTCAGTGGCCATAAGTGTTTATGATCAACAACATTTAGACATCAGGGATTTTAACTTCTTCTGTCACCATCAGGACTGTCAGTGGCCATAAGTGTTTATGATCAACAATATTTAGACATCAGGGATTTTAACTTCTTCTGTCACCATCAGGACTGTCAGTGGCCATAAGTGTTTATGATCAACAATATTTAGACATCAGGGATTTTAACTTCTTCTGCCACCATCAGGACTGTCAGTGGCCATAAGTGTTTATGATCAACAATATTTAGACATCAGGGATTTTAACTTCTTCTGTCACCAACAGGACTGTCAGTGGCCATAAGTGTTTATGATCAACAATATTTAGACATCAGGGATTTTAACTTCTTCTGCCACCAACAGGACTGTCAGTGGTCATAAGTGTTTATGATCAACAATATTTAGACATCAGGGATTTTAACTTCTTCTGTCACCATCAGGACTGTCAGTGGCCATTAGTGTTTATGATCAACAATATTTAGACGTCAGGGATTTTAACTTCTTCTGTCACCATCAGGACTGTCAGTGGCCATAAGTGTTTATGATCAACAATATTTAGACATCAGGGATTTAAACTTCTTCTGTCACCATCAGGACTGTCAGTGGCCATAAGTGTTTATGATCAACAATATTTAGACATCAGGGATTTTAACTTCTTCTGTCACCAACAGGACTGTCAGTGGCCATAAGTGTTTATGATCAACAACATTTAGACATCAGGGATTTTAACTTCTTCTGTCACCATCAGGACTGTCAGTGGCCATAAGTGTTTATGATCAACAATATTTAGACATCAGGGATTTTAACTTCTTCTGTCACTATCAGGACTGTCAGTGGCCATAAGTGTTTATGATCAACAACATTTAGACATCAGGGATTTTAACTTCTTCTGTCACCAACAGGACTGTCAGTGGCCATAAGTGTTTATGATGAACAATATTTAGACATCAGGGATTTTAACTTCTTCTGTCACCAACAGGACTGTCAGTGGCCATAAGTGTTTATGATCAACAATATTTAGACATCAGGGATTTTAACTTCTTCTGTCACCATCAGGACTGTCAGTGGCCATAAGTGTTTATGATCAACAATATTTAGACATCAGGGATTTTAACTTCTTCTGTCACCATCAGGACTGTCAGTGGCCATAAGTGTTTATGATCAACAATATTTAGACATCAGGGATTTTAACTTCTTTTGTCACCAACAGGACTAGCCACAGAACTTAGTGATAAACAACATTTTAGTGATAAACAGACATCAAGAGTTAAATCTGTCAGATACCAGATTCACAGTTATTATTCCGTCTGTTTGTGCTACCCACCTGACTGTCAATGCCCAGACAGATGAGCATGAAGAAGAAAAGTGCGGCAAACAGCTGGGAGACAGGCATACTGGTGAAGGCTTCTGGATAGATGACAAACACCAGGCCAGGACCTGCAACAAACATGGATGTTGTACATTTGGGTGGCATGGACTTCGGGATGTGACCAGTCCATCATATGTGATGCACACGTCACATATGAAGTCACCATCACATGCAAGATGCACCAGGTCACTGACAGGATTCCACAAACATAACTTTTTGTCATAGCAACAGGATCTGCACTACACAGAAAATCTCTAGACCCCAGCACATATGCTAGACAACTGTAATACGCCAGAATATCTGTTTCACACCAACTTTTATTCTGCTGAAGGTAGATATTGACATATCATATTTGCTATATTTATCTAGTGGGCCAGCATATTTGTCCAGTGTATACACTATGGACCAGTGTATGTGTTGTGTGAACCAGTGTATGTGTCTAGTGGACCAGCGTATTTGTTTAGTGGATCAGCTTATGTGTCTAGTGGACCAGCGTATTTTTCTAGTGGACCAGTGTATTTGTCTAGTGGACCAGCGTATGTTTCTAGTGGACCAGCGTATGTGTCTAGTGGACCAGTGTATTTGTTCAGTGGACCAGAGTTTTGGTCTAGTGGACCAGTGTATGTGTCTAGGTGACCAGTGTATGTGTCTAGTGGACCAGTGTATTTGCTTAGTGGACCAGTGTATGTGTCTAGTGGACCAGTGTATTTGTTTAGTGGACCAGTGTATGTGTCTAGTGGACCAGCATATGTGTCTAGTGGACCAGTGTATTTGTTAAGTGGACCAGTGTATGTGTCTAGTGGACCAGTGTATGTGTCTAGTGGACCAGTTTATTTGTTTAGTGGACCAGTGTATGTGTCTAGTGGACCAGTTTATTTGTTTAGTGGACCAGTGTATGTGTCTAGTGGACCAGCATATGTGTCTAGTGGACCAGTGTATTTGTTTAGTGGACCAGTGTATGTGTCTAGTGGACCAGCGTATTTGTCTAGTGGACCAGTGTATGTGTCTAATGGACCAGCATACGTGTCTAGTTGACCAGTGTATTTGTCTTGTGGACCAGTGTATTTGTCTAGTGGACCAGTGTATGTGTCTAATGGACCAGCATACGTGTCTAGTTGACCAGCGTATTTGTCTTGTGGACCAGTGTATGTGTCTAGTGGACCAGTGTATTTGTCTGGTGGACCAGTGAATGTGTCTAATGTCTTCCCTGTCCCTTAGATGAGCTCCCACCCCTCAGACAGACTTCCCTGTCCCAAAGGTGGGGTCCCACTCCTCAGGAAGACTTCCATGTCCCTTTGATGAGCTCCAACCCCTCAGACAGACTTCCTGTCCCCTAGATGAGCTCCCACCCTTCAGGAAGACTTCCCTGTCCCTTATATGAGCTCCCACCCCTCAGGAAGACTACCCTAGCCCTTAGATGAGCTCCCACCCCCCAGGAAGACTTCCTGTCCCTTAGATGAGCTCCCTTCCCTTAGGAAGACTTCCTGTCCCTTAGATGAGCTCCCACCCCTCAGGAAGACTTCCCTGTCCCTTAGATGAGCTCCCACCCCCAGGAAGACTTCCCTGTCCCTTAGATGAGCTCCCAGCCCTCAGTAAGACTTCCATGTCCCTTAGATGATCTCCCACCCCTCAGGAAGACTTCCCTGTCCCTTAGATGAGCTCCCACCCCTTAGGAAGACTTCCTGTTCCCTAGATGAGCTCCCACCCCTCAGGAAGACTTCCCGGTCACATGGATGAGGTCCCACCCCTCAGGAAGACTTCCCTGTCCCTTAGATGAGCTCCCGCCCCTCAGACACACTTCCCTGTCCCTTAGGTGAGCTCCCACTCCTCAGACAGACTTCCCTGTCCCTTAAATGAGTTCCCAGCCCTCATGAAGACTTCCCTGTCCCTTAGATGAGCTCCCACCCCCAGGAAGACTTCCCTGTCACTTGGATGAACTCGTACCCCTCAGGAAGACTTCCATGTCCCTTAGATGAGGTCCCTTCCCTTAGGAAGACTTCCCTGTCACTTGGATGAACTCCTACCTCTCAGACAGCCTTTCCTGTCCCCTAGATGAGCTCCCACCCCTCAGGAAGACTTCCATGTCCCTTAGATGAGCTCCCACCCCTCAGGAAGACTTTCCTGTCCCTTAGATGAGCTACCACCCCTCTGGAAGACTTCCCTGTCCCTTAGATGAGCTCCCTCCCCCATGAAGACTTCCCTGTCCCCTAGATGAGGTCCCACCCCTCAGGAAGACTTCCCTGTCACTTGAATGAACTCCTCCCCTTCAGGAAGACTTCCCTGTCCTTTGGATGAGCTCCTACCCTTTAGGAAGACTTCCCTGTCTCTTAGATGAGCTCCCACCCCTCAGGAAGACTTCCCTGTCACTTGGATGAACTCCTACCCCTCAGACAGACTTCCCTGTCCCTTAGATGAGCTCCCACTCCTCAGGAAGACTTCCCCGTCCCTTAGATTAGCTCCCGCCCCTCAGGAAGACTTCCCTGTCACTTGGATGAACTCCCACCCCTCATGAAGACTTCCCTGTCCCTTAGATGAGCTCCCATCCTTCTGGAAGACTTCCCTGTCCCTTAGATGAGCTCCCACCCCTCAGGAAGACTTCCATGTCCCTTAGATGAGCTCCAACCCCTCAGACAGACTTCCCTGTCCCCTTGATTATCTCCCACCCCTCATGAAGACTTCCCTGTCCCTTAGATGAGCTCCCACCCTACAGGAAGACTTTCCTGTCCCTTAGATGAGCTACCACCCCTCTGGAAGACTTCCCTGTCCCTTAGATGAGCTCCCTCCCCCATGAAGACTTCCCTGTCCCTTAGATGAGCTCCTACCTCTCAGACAGACTTCCCTGTCCCTTAGATGAGCTCCCACTCCTCAGGAAGACTTCCCCGTCCCTTAGATGAGCTTCCACCCCTCAGGAAGACTTTCTGTCCCTTAGATGAGGTCCCATCCCTCAGGAAGACTTCCCTGTCCCTTATATGAGCTACCACCCCTCAGACAGACTTCCCTGTCCCCTAGATGAGGTCCCACCCCTCAGGAAGACTTCCCTGTCACTTGGATGAACTCCTACCCTTTAGGAAGACTTCCCTGTCCCTTGGATGAGCTCCTACCCTTCAGGAAGACTTCCATGTCCCTTAGATGAGCTCCCACCCCTCAGGAAGACTTCCCTGTCCTTTGGATGAACTCCTACCCCTCAGACAGATTCCCTGTTCCTTATATGAGCTACCACCCCTCTGACAGATTTCCTGTCCCTTAGATGAGCTCCCACCCCTCAGGAAGACTTCCATGTCCCTTAGATGAGCTCCCACCCCTCAGACAGACTTCCCTGTCCCCTAGATAAGCTCTGACCCCTCAGGAAGACTTCCATGTCCCTTAGATGATCTCCCACCCCTCAGGAAGACTTCCCTGTCCCTTAGATGAGCTACCACCCCTCAGACAGACTTCCCTGTCCCTTAGATGAGCTCCCGCCCCTCAGACAGACTTCCCTGTCCCTTAGATGAGCTCCAACCCCTCTGACAGACTTCCCTGTCCCTTAGATGAGCTCCCACTCCTCAGGAAGACTTCCCCGTCCCTTAGATGAGCTTCCACCCCTCAGGAAGACTTTCTGTCCCTTAGATGAGGTCCCATCCCTCAGGAAGACTTCCCTGTCCCTTATATGAGCTCCCACCCCTCAGACTTCCCTGTCCCCTAGATGAGGTCCCACCCCTCAGGAAGACTTCCCTGTCACTTGGATGAACTCCTACCTTTCAGGAAGACTTCCCTGTCTCTTTGATGAGCTCCTACCCTTCAGGAAGACTTCCCTGTCCCTTAGATGAGCTCCCCACCCCATGAAGACTTCCCTGTCCCTTAGATGAGCTCCCACCCCTCAGGAAGACTTCCATGTCCCTTAGATGAGCTCCCACCCCTCAGGAAGACTTCCCTGTCCTTTGGATGAGCTCCTACCCCTCAGACAGATTCCCTGTCCCTTAGATGAGCTCCCACCCCTCTGACAGATTTCCTGTCCCTTAGATGAGCTCCCACCCCTCAGGAAGACTTCCATGTCCCTTAGATGAGCTCCCACCCCTCAGACAGACTTCCCTGTCCCCTAGATAAGCTCCCACCCCTCAGGAAGACTTCCATGTCCCTTAGATGAGCTCCCGCCCCTCAGACAGACTTCCCAGTCCCTTAGATGAGCTCCCACCCCTCAGGAAGACTTCCATGTCCCTTAGATGATCTCCCACCCCTCAGGAAGACTTCCATGTCCCTTAAATGAGCTCCCACCCCTCAGACAGACTTCCCTGTCCCTTAGATGAGCTCCCACCCCTCAGACAGACTTCCCTGTCCCTTAGATGAGCTCCCACCCCTCAGGAAGACTTCCTGTCCCTTAGATGAGCTCCCACCCCTCAGGAAGACTTCCAAGTCCCTTAGATGAGCTCCCACCCCTCAGGAAGACTTCCCTGTCCCTTAGATGAGCTCCCACCCCTCAGACAGACTACCCTGTCCCTTAGATGAGCTCCCACCCCTCAGACAGACTTCCCTGTCCCTTAAATGAGCTCCATCCTCAAGACAGATTGATAACTATGCTTCTAACTTTATCCTGTATCCATCTGAGCATTGCTTCATAGTTACCTTTAAGATATCTTTTAATGGGTGATGATTTAAGGGTGACTTTTAAATAGCAACTTTTAACTACAACATGGATCCCCTAACTACAAGGGTTCTAAAACCAGAAAAAAAAACTAAATGTCTATACACCGTGGTAACGTCATTTTTCGTTGTGATGAAAACAATCACTGCTAGCAGTGAATCTTTGGAATAAAATAGCGCCAAATCACTGTAGCTCGCTAGATGCATTCAAAGTGAGCTCAATATCATGTAGTGAAATCTTAAGCCATCAATTAAGGACAGTGTGTCTGTTGATTGGCTGGCTACTGTGGGCTCTCCGATGGGAGAGGACATTATGGTATGTGTGATAAAAATCCTAGCTGTGTCACCACCTAAAGTGGCATATGGATAAAGTTTGACATTTTCTCCACTATAAATAAAAAGTGACATGTTTGCCAAGATATTACTGAAATACAGTTGAACCCAACATATACCCTGAATTTGGAACATACTAGATTTTGATTGTCAATCAGAGATTTCAAATCAGAACAACCACCTCTGATTGAAACAGTTCATTCAAAAGCCGAATCACTGCAGAGGCTAACATTTCTGGAAAGGTATTTCTTTTTCAATGAAAGTTGGCCGTTATTTTGAAATAATGCGGTTACTACAATAATTAAAGTATGTGTGGCAATACACGAAAACATGACGGACCAGTTACAAAAAACAAGGTTGAGCACACACAGGAACAAACTATTTATCAACTTTTCCATAACTCAGATTGACACACAACTCAATACTGGTGCCTGCTGCTTCACTCAGTCGCTTGCACCAAAGAATCATGGGAAATAAACACACTGTGCTTTCACTGTAGAAGTAGGTTATCTCCCAAATCACACAAAGATCATGCTCCCACAGGCTACAACTCCAGTGTATCATGTGAGGACACTGATAGTGTTGACATATCATACACATAGCAATCCTGCTGTCCTCCTTTCAAATAACAGCCACACAGCATGTCAACAATAACTGATGCTACCCAAGTGGTACTTCCTGTGGCTTCCTGGTCCATTACTGGAAAAAAATGATTCATGCAAGCTTTTGAATCTAAAATAGGTCATTTGGTTTACTTCAGACAAGGCATCAAGGTCAGATGAAGATGAAGACAGGAAATAAGAAATTCCTCAAGTTTGGTTTATATTTTTGAAACATGCATCAGTGTTTTTTGGAAAACATGAAACACACATGCATAAAATAAGGGCAGTAAGATGATAGTAAGACTTTCTCATTGCTTTCAAAATCATTCTGATTTCATGATACAACCAACTATGTGTCATTTGACAAAAGGGATAGACCATTTCATTCATCATGAAAAGAAATTTGTGGAATTTATGTTATGTTTACAAGAATTGCTGACAAGTCTGAAAACATGACCATAAATCAGGGACCTTCAAATGACCTTGACCTTCAAATTTGCAAGTGGCCATGGACTCAATCCATGACTTTGACCCTCTGCAAATCCTGGCTGCAATGGCCAGGACTCACCTTCTTGAACCACATCAGCTACGTCTTTATTCTGTGTCAGGGCCAAGTTGCCCAAGATGGAGAAAATCGCGAAGCCAGCCAGAATGCAGGTAAAAGCGTCGACTACCGCCAAAGATAACACATCTCTGGAAGGCAGATAAGGTTATGAAGAACATGTCTAGTGGTGCCTAGGCCCAAAAAATCAGTCATTCAATTTGTCAAGCCGACTTCCTATTCTAGGGTTTCTACTGAGTTAATATCTTTTACAAACTATATATCGTTTTCATTAGCCTCTCAAAATCCATTTTGATCTTCCATAGCATCAGAAAACTAACAAATCTTAGGATTAAAATACAACAGGGACACAGATGTTGGCTTTTCTAGACATATTTGAGACCTTCATCGCCCACAATCAATATTCCTACACTGACCACGTGGCACCAAACCCATAACCCCACACACTCCCTACCACCTATGATCATAAAACCTTAGCCCCCCCCCTCCCCCAACCACACCACACCACACCACACCACATCACATCACACAACACCACATGATCATAAACAGCAATCAAACTTCCATCCTCACAATTTACTCTACACTTCACTTGAACTTGGACCTGATGATTTATCTGAAACACTTACCGTCTAACAAATATTTCTTTCCAATAATGCAATAAAGTTTTGAGATGAAAAGCTGATTTCAGCCTTATATCTTTTATAAAAAAAATTTAAAAAATAATATTTGAATGTCACACATGTTATTCAATCGTCAACACAGATGATGAAAAGAAATCATGTATGAAATAATGTAGAGCACTATATTACATGATGATGACTCCAGCATAATCACTGGATAACAAAATATTTTTAAAAATCACATTCATAGTGCAGCAATATTTACTTCTTAGATATGAATAGGATAAATATTTTGGCATGAAGTTTACACAATATCAAAAAGCCTTAAAATACCCGGTAAATCTCTTATGAGCTAATGTAATTTAACACAAACTTTTCATTACGAACAACTTTAAAACCTGAAAGTAATGTAAAATAAACAACTACTGCAGTATAAAGAAAATGTGTGATTTGAATAACATTAGGCAGAATATGAGTCAGCATCAGCGGAGACACGAGATAGTCTCCAACTTCCAAACAACATTCACACTATTCATTTCATACATGTGTGTATGAAAAAGCGAACGCCTACAAAAAAAAATGACACACTGTAATTATGACATCCTGAAATACAACATGACAATATACACAATTGTGGTTGAGCAAAATGTCTGTTTAAAATAGAATAAACTGCCCTTTTAACAATTTAAGATATTGTGTCAACAAGATGTATATTTTATATTATCCAAATGATGTTTTTCGTAATAATAATAATATACAATCACTTTACATATTTTAATAAGAATGATGATAGAAAGATAGTACTGAAGACAAGACAGATAAATGATGGGATGAATGACGTATAAAAGGACGCATAAATGTGAATAAAGGATGTAAGAATTGATCAAACTAGTGATGCAAAGTTTTATGTTCATGACAATTTGATATTACATCAATGACAGTGGTAATTGACACTGCATAATACAGCGCTAGATACTAGCTATAATTTTGAAAAACTATTTCTCCAGTATGTATCCTACAAGTCGTTTTTATTCAGAGTATTTCTTGTCTGTGGGTATTCCATTGAGAACAGTTAACAACAGACTACAACATGAGCTACTGTAAATCAGGAAGCTCTGATAACACACACACCTACTGACTGAGCTTATGACATCTGTAAACACACCACTACCAATACTGCTATCAACATAACACAGGAGTCCTAATGGTCCTCCCTAGAACATAGCCCTGGACAGACATTGAACATGAGCAGTGGTGACACAAACAATAGTGGCCGTCATACATTCTGACAGTTATATATATATATATTGTTTGTTTGTTGCTTAACGCCGCACTCAGCAATATTCCAGCTATATGATGGCGGTCTGTAAATAATCAAATCTGGACCAGACAATCCAGTGATAGACATCATGAGCATCAATCCACGAAATTGGGATCCGATAACATGCATCAACCAAGTCAGTGAGCCTGACCACCCGATCCCGTTAGTCGCCTCTTATGACAAGCACAGTCGCCTTTTACGGCAAGCATGGGTTACTGTAGACCTATTCTACCCTGGATCTTCACGGGTATATATATATATATATATAACATGATGAAGATGAAGATGATGACGATTATGATGATAGTCACAGATTCTACAGAAATGTCAGGAAGACAGTCAGGTAGATAAAGAAAACAATGGTGAAACAATTTGTACAATATACAGAAGTCAAAAAGGAAGATAACTCACCTGAGAATGCTGTTATTGAACTTGCTGTAACTGGACATCGTGATGAGGCCGCCAAACGCGACGCCCAGAGAGTTGAAGGTCTGTGCAGCAGCGTTCACCCAAACCTGTTGGAACACATGAATAATGTTAGCTGGGTTGAACACAGCCTATGTTTGTTTGTTTGTTGTTTATCCCACCCTATGCAACAGAATCACATCACATGTCAGCGTAAGGTGGGAGGACAAGTGTGATATGGCGCTAACAGACCAAGGATCATAACAGGTTTAAGTCCTGGATTCAAACTCATGATCAGCAGTCTCTTGGGTTTGGAAAGGAAAGGGAGGTAACTGCACAGTGAGTGAGTGAGTGAGTTTAATGTGGCTTTTAACAGTATTTCAGTTATATCCTGGCGTGTCAGCTTAATGTGGGAGGAAAGCCCTAAGTGATTCCGGTCTCAGAGTGTCTACCACTTCAGTGAAACCCACGAACATGGGTATGGTGCTGGCAAACCTAGAAACATAATTGGGGCAAACTGGGATTCGAACCCACAATCATAGGTTTCTCGCATACTCAAGGGACTTAACTCTGCACAGCGAATCGCAGCGCCTTAGACGACTGGGCCACCCGTGCCCCAGGTAACTGCACAGCACCAGGAAGCACGTTGTAGAACACATTGTACAACCAGGCACCCATGTCTCAACTTCTGAATTTAAAGTAAAGCCTATATCCAAGACACCAGGGGTGTGTTTATCCATCTTTTACCTATTCCCATTTGAGTCTGGTTACCACTATATCCATCTCCAAGCTGTACTCACTTGGACCAGCAACCTATGTTTGCATCTATAACCTATTCCCATTTAAGACAAGAGATTCACTTTTGCGTTTAGAATCTATGTACTCATTTGGAACTAGTTTCCGGTCTTTGTATCTTGTAGCTATTCTGTGATTCACGATCTTTAATGGCTTCCAGGACCTATTCAAATTTGGGACAAGTGACCCGTGTTTGTGTAAGAGTGAACATTATCCTACCCTATTTTTAATCCCGGGATAAAATTCTCTAGTGTCAGGATGATTCGCCCTAGTGAATTTGAACCCATACAAGTGTGTTTAATCCCATCAACATATATTTCCCCCCACATACCCCAACCAAACATGATGAAAATGTAAGTATCAACATAAATAACACTAGAATATTTTAACCTATTGCTAGTTTTATTTATCCTATTTATTTTATTTAAGTAACTGAATACTTGGAATACTCTGTTCCATCCATGGTTGATCAAATCAACTGACAATGTCAATGTCAAACCTCAAAGTCATGAAGTCATGCGATCAGCTGACAGCATGAATGTCATGACAGCATGCAATGCATGTGTAAAGGAAGTCTGTCATGGCATAATATACACTGATTCACCTATTTCCACTTAGGTATGTTTCACTGGGATGAATTACCTTTAACTTTTGGACATAACCTATCCCAGATTTCCCACACTAAGGTAGGATACTATACCCTAAAGTAAAACTTCCCCCGGGATAATATTTAGGTAGGATATAATCCTTGCTTACATTTGCATCTCAAATGTACATTTAAGACAAATCTCCTTTTGCATCACAAATCTTTTCACATTGGAGACAAGTGACCTACCTTGGCATCTAAAAGCTGTTCCCATTTTGGTTCAATGAAGAATCGGATGCCGTCCATGGCGCCGTCCAGCGTGAGCCCTCTCACCAGCAGGATGACCAGCACCACATAGGGGAATGTGGCCGTGAAGTACACAACCTTCAGTACACAATGGTGGATTGATCAGACTATGTCATACATGTCAGCTAAATAGTTTTTGTCAAGGCTCCGGGTAACACAATTCCTAACTGGACATATTGTACCCAACTACCATGGGTATCAGGGTTGGGTCAGGTACCTGGAAAGTGAATTTGGACTCATCTCAGCCCTTACCGCAATACAGGATCTTACGATACTTGAATCTCTACACAAGGTACAATGATGCTCCAATATACAGTCGTCTATCACCACACCTTGGGGTGTAACAATACACCTTGCTGTGACAAGACACAATGGAGGTACGATACTTGAATCTCTACACAAGGTACAATGATGCTCCAATATACAGTCTAGCCACAATGAAGGTATGACACAAAAACATCTGTCAGGAGAAGGAGATACAGCTAACATTAACATATAGTGAGTGAGTGAGTCCTTTAACGCTGCCTCGAACAGTATTCAAGTTATATCACGGCATCAGAACCATAAAATAAATTGATGGCCCTCCCCAACAGTTTATCATTAACCATCAGCGCCACGGTCTGGCATGTAACTGATACACTCCGACATCCTGCTGTTAACCTCCCGGGGTTGCTGCATATGTGCAATACATGCATTCACAACTGACCATTTTGGTAACCATGTAAACAATATTTCATAATATCCGGGCGGTAGTTAATTCCCTTAGCCAAGATGTCTCCGACTACAACCAGCAAATTCCAATAATGGGACAGATCTTAGTTGATTACAATGACTTTTATCTTATCTCTCATTAGCACATGTCAGTTCGCTACAAATTATTTGCTGAACACATGTGTCTTCTGTGCAATACAGGTCCTTATAAGCCAAGGACATTTATTTCGATTTACAATCAGCACAGCCATGGACGACTTCATTCACTGGCAGGGGTGCAACTAGGCTTATTTTATATGTAAGCAAATCTAATTTTACGAATACCCGCTAGATGCTCTTAAATGCTATTTCCTGAATTTTGGGACCATTTATCATAGATAAATTTTTGCAACAAAAACTGGTAATTTTTTATTTGAATGTTTTATTTGTAATATATATACATGTATTTCCCCAACACATTTTCGACTTTAATTCAAGAAACATCTATGATGACAAATAAAATTTGGACATTAAAACAAATCGATATTATGACTTTTATGTGTTTTTCAATCTCATTAAAATCAGATCTAGGTTCTCTAAACAAAGATCTGAGGACATCCCATTACGGGTCACATCAGAACGACCTTTTGCGAATTTTGACCGACCACTGAAATGACTAATAAGAAGTTGACATCAGCCAATTAGAAAGCAGCTTTCTCGAGCTTCACGGCACTCGTTTCAACCTGGCGACTTCCATTTCAGACTACCCTTGGAAAATATGTTGACACAGTTCTCGATTTATATTTTGAAAACTGAACAAACGAACATTACTGAATGTCTAATATATGTATGAGATTGTATGGCATGTACTGTGCAACGCCTCCTCCGCTCAAATGTTTATGCCTGCGGAAGCTAGAGATAGACGATAATTTTGACGGAATCAGTTGTACGGGTCGTAACTGTCGTTTGGAATACATCGTGTTAACGTTTTCGAGGTTGCATGATTAGAAAACACATTCCGACTGTCACTTTCACGATAATTATAATGAAACTAATGTGTGAGCATGGTTTGCTTTGGTCACAAACCATCGACCACTAAAATCCTAAAGAGTGTAAAGATTCCCATTTTCAAGTTACACAATAAATATCACATTCAACCGTGCAGAGTTTGAGCAGTGTGAATTGTGTTCACCTTGCTGGTTGACTTGGGCCTATATAATTAGTTATAGCACTATTAGCGGTGTGAAGTCTGTTCACCTTGCTGGTTGACTTGGGCCTATATAATTAGTTATAGCACTATAAGCGGTGTGAAGTCTGTTCACCTTGCCGGTTGACATGGGCCTTTATAATTAGTTATAGCACTATTAGCGGTGTGAAGTCTGTTCACCTTGCCGGTTGACTTGGGCCTTTATAATTAGTTACAGCACTATGAACGTTGGGAATTGTGTTCACCTTGCCGGTTGACTTGGGCCTATATAATTAGTTATAGCATTATTAGCAGTGTGAAGTCTGTTCACCTTGCTGGTTGACTTGGGCCTTTATAATTAGTTACAGCAATATGAGCGGTGGGAATTGTGTTCACCTTGCCAGTTGACTTGGGCCTATATAATTAGTTACAGCACTATGAGTGATGCGAATTGTGTTCACCTTGCCGGTTGACTTGGGCCTTTATAATTAGTTATAGCACTATTAGCGGTGTGAAGTCTGTTCACCTTGCCGGTTGACTTGGGCCTTTATAATTAGTTACAGCAATATGAGTGGTGGGAATTGTGTTCACCTTGCCAGTTGACTTGGGCCTATATAATTAGTTATAGCACTATGAGCGGTGTGAAGTCTGTTCAGCTTGCCGGTTGACTTGGGCCTTTATAATTAGTTACAGCACTATGAGCGGTGGGAATTGTGTTCACCTTGCTGGTTGACTTGGGCCTATATAATTAGTTATAGCACTATGAGCAGTGTGAAGTCTGTTCACCTTGCCGGTTGACTTGGGCCTTTATAATTAGTTACAGCATTATGAGTGGTGGGAATTGTGTTCACCTTGCCGGTTGACTTGGGCCTTTATAATTAGTTACAGCATTATGAGTGGTGGGAATTGTGTTCACCTTGCCGGTTGACTTGGGCCTATATAATTAGTTACAGCATTATGAGTGGTGGGAATTGTGTTCACCTTGCCGGTTGACTTGGGCCTATATAATTAGTTACAGCATTATGAGTGGTGGGAATTGTGTTCACCTTGCCGGTTGACTTGGGCCTATATAATTAGTTACAGCATTATGAGTGGTGGGAATTGTGTTCACCCTGCCGGTTGACTTGGGCCTATATAATTAGTTACAGCAATATGAGCGGTGGAAATTGTGTTCACCTTGCCGGTTGACTTGGGCCCCTTCCAGATACAGAAGTACACCAGTGTCCAGCACATCAGCAGGATGAGGGCCAGCTCCCACCGGATCTTTCCCTGGTCGTTGATGCCTGATGACTGCTCCAACACACGCTGGCTGCAAGGTAATCCACATTCATTATTAACAGCAGGGTTGGCTTCTGCTGCACCTCAACAATCTTCAACATGTTCACACTACATTTAACACCATACCACATCAATGCCTTATCAAGCCTGACCAAACAATATAACATACCCAACAAATCTTACATTGTGGCCATAATCTCTGGCATCATATTCCTTTATTCACCCTGTTCCTGTATAACATCCTTATATTTACCCTGTTCCTGTATAACATTCTTATATTCATCCTGTTCCTGTATAACATCTTTATATTCATTCTGTTCTTGTATAACATCCTTATATTCATCCTGTTCCTGTATAACATCTTTATATTCATCCTGTTCCTGTATTACATCTTTATATTCACCCTGTTCCTGTATTACATCTTCATATTCACCCTGTTCCTTTATTACATCTTCATATTCACCCTGTTCCTGTATTACATCTTCATATTCACCCGGCTCCTTTATTACATCTTCATATTCACCCTGTTCCTGTATTACATCTTCATATTCACCCTGTTCCTGTATTACATCTTCATATTCACCCTGTTCCTGTATTACATCTTCATATTCACCCTGTTCCTGTATTACATCTTCATATTCACCCTGTTCCTGTATTACATCTTCTTATTCACCCTGTTCCTGTATTACATCTTTATATTCATCCTGTTCCTGTATTACATCTTTATATTCACCCTGTTCCTGTATTACATCTTTATATTCACTTTGTTCCTGTATTACATCTTCATATTCACCCTGTTCCTGTATTACATCTTCATATTCACCCTGCTCCTTTATTACATCTTCATATTCACCCTGTTCCTGTATTACATCCTTATATTCACCCTGTTCCTGTATAACATCCTTAAATTCACCATGTTCCTGTATTACATCTTTATATTCACCCTGTTCCTGTATTACATCTTCATATTCACCCTGTTCCTGTATTACATCTTCATATTCACCCTGTTCCTGTATTACATCTTTATATTCACCCTGTTCCTGTATTACATCCTTATATTCACCCTGTTCCTGTATAACAGCCTTATATTCACCCTGTTCCTGTATTACATCCTTATATTCACCCTGTTCCTGTATAACATCCTTATATTCACCCTGTTCCTGTATTACATCCTTATATTCATCCTGTTCCTGTATAACATCCTTATATTCACCCTCTTCCTGTATTACATCTTTATATTCACCCTGTTCCTGTATTACATCCTTATATTCACCCTATTCCTGTATTACATCCTTATATTCACCCTGTTCCTGTATTACATCCTTATATTCACCCTGTTCCTCTACCACAGCCTGTTCACTCTGTTTCCATATTAGTGTATTCAACTATCCCACACACTGCACCTTCCCACCCTACCCCATCACTGAACCAATTAACTCCAGTCTCCTCACAACCCTCTTACAATATCAAATATTTTCATGTGATTTCCACACAAGCTTCTGTTACATCACAGCAAGCTTTTTAAGGACAGAAAATTGAGTCCTCAAAACGTTGTAGCTCACCTGAACTCACAGTACAGGTGATCTAAAATAACTTTATGATTGAAATGCATCTACTTACTAATAAAAATCTTCCGTTGGTGATCTTGTCTTATTAGTCCTTTCCATGTCCATGTCAATGTCAAAACTGGAATTTGTTGTGTTACCAAGGTAATGGAACACTGTGGCGGCGGATACATTTTTGGCGTCTCCCTCCCAGCACATGTCGGAACTCCAGGTGTGATTGCATCCCTTCCACGGCAACTCCGCCTGGAATGTGCTGAACAGGTAGTAGAAGGACCAGGTGATGATGATGATGTAGTAGGTGGTGAAGAGGAATGATATCACCACTGTCGCAAGACCTGCACCTACAAATTACATCACTACAGATTAAGCAAGAAAACAGCGTTATTACTATCCCCCGCCATGGGGCACATTAGTAGTGAACATAAACAATAGAAAAAGAGTCCTAAAAAGCCATGAGAAGAGATAAGTACTTGTGTCGCTTTATGTCATCAGAAAAAATGAAATTATTGCAAAAGGCCCCTTCTCTGGAAAAGTAAACTCAGTCTAAGAGATACCTATCATCAGTAGTTTCTGAGAAAACTTGTCCCCATTGCAGACACTATGCACTTTGTAAAATAACATGGATCAAGGGCCGTAACTGTGCATGCTCAAAATCTAAAAACGTAGCAAGGGAGGTAAGTCTGGAAAAGATTAATTAACGTTACCAATTTTCGTACAGTCTTGAAAAGTATCTCTTACATATAGTCTAATAAGCATGCAAACTTTCATTCATGTAACGTCAGCAGTTTCTGAGAAAACTTGTCCCCATTGCAGACACTATGCACTTAGTTGAAAAGCACAGGGCAAGAGCCATAGCTCTGTAAAAAAAAAAAAATGGCACCAATTATCGAACTCAGTCTTGACTAGTGTCTCTTCTTTAATTGTTTATTTCTTAAACAGGGTTCGAAATTAAGGGACGCTACGACGCAAAATGCGTCTTAATTTATGATTTTGCGTCTATAAATCAAAATAAAGACGATATTTATTGCGTCTTGCTTTTTTCCGTTTCACAACTGGTTGAGAAATACCTAGATTTCTAAATTCACTGTGATATTATCATAACTTTTGATTTCACGAAGATTTTCCTTGATTTGTTTACCTCCAATTTAGAGTTACCTCCCCATTCGCGTTTCTGGAAAAACTTTTACTTCCTTTCAACTTTCGTGAACGCGGACTATTCGGGGCTCTTTTTGACCAATGAACATATAGCACGGAGATTAATATTATGCAAATGACATATGTCTATTTTCGTGAGACCAATCAAATGCCTTAAAAACTATGTCATCGGTAATTTATTCAATTGACCCAAGGTCGTTTCTTTTTTTTAATATGACATGCCATCCTCGAATCCCAGACAACACCCGTAAGGCTGGTTGACTGACCAAGCCAAAGTGACGTCAAAATAGTATATAATTTTATTAACCTACCTGTCATATCATTCATTTATTAAATCTATCACATTTCACAATGTCTGAAATACGCATTCCATTCCAATTTATCATTTCTTATCGATTAATTAAATTTTTTTTTCACTATTTCCTGCAATGATATTGAAAATAAAATCTCTAAAACAGTCTTCGACAACGGGTCCACATCGAACATGTCAAAGAGCAATGTAAAGACGTTTCAAGCAAATCTTTAAATATATTATACAAAGTAAAAGATAAAATATAAAAAATATAGATCTATCTTAAAGTTGTCAAACTAACAATTAAGTTATTATTTCCATCTTTTCGTGCGATCGCGTGTAATGTAAGTCAAATGACTTCTTGGTTTTCGTCGTCTCAATTTCCTCGGTTCGGACACGATGTTTAAAGCAAAAATATAAGCATGAAAAATCTTTGTCACAGCTCGTAACCTGGCATGATACATCAATGAAGTTCCATATTTGTAATATAGATCACAATTTCCTGCTTAAAACGTTCAGAAAATATCACAATTTAACAAAAGTCTTTCGTCAAATTCTGAAATTCATTATACCATAGATGTAATTTGATTGGCTGACTTAGGTCACGTGCTCAGATTTGACCAGTCACGAACCTTGTAGCAGATTTTGGCAAAGAAAATGTCATTAGAAACCAATTTTATCGAAGCTTTCTAGCGATGCGTCACTTGGCAGTCTTCGACGAACGTGTTCTTCGAAACCGGAGGAAACTATTCATGTTACTGAACGGACAGCCACTGTTATCAGGAAATGGGTGATGGCAGATACCGAACTATTTACAATTCTTTTTAAAATATTTTTCCAATTGCGTTTTTTATGAAACCTTATAGATTCTGTTTGCGAAAATCGTCAATTTTGCGCTTCCTTGAAACTTAATCTGGACGTTGTGAATGTGTTAGCTTACATTTTCTTTATTTACACTGAACATAATTAAGTTGTAAATGCATTATCTAAATAATGTGATAAACATAACATATTTATAAACAATAGGATTGGAACTTGAAATGGTGTATAATATGTGGTAGAAAAAGATGTTTTACAAACATGCAGATATTTTCTTTGATAAATGTTTTATGAGTGTAATTTAATTACTTTGTTATCTGAATGTCATGACATGCATAATCAAGCCATTATTTATATGCAGCACATATCATGATCATGCAATCTTGTGATATATATTTTGAAGTTTTGAGTTGAGAAAAATATTTGCTTGTTGATTTTATATTTTGCTTGTAACTTTTAAAACCACAAGCAAAAATTTGCTTGTGCCTAAACAAATTCTAACCCTGTTAAATGAGACATCAACATTATGTACAACCACTTGAAGGACTTTAGTAAAAAGTACATGCTTTAAAAATATCTACCCCTATTTAAATAATGATGAGACCCTGAACAGAAAATGGACAGCAACAATGTCAGACAAGTCAATTTTATAAACAGGGGGGTTAAATTTGGTCTTTCCCGCATATTCTTACAATTTTCACATCGACTATCTGTACCTTTCCTCCCAATACCAATTGCCATATCTCTCTCACTTTTGGAAGCGATTGTTCGGTCATTGTGATTATCCATGTTGCCCAGGAACATCTGTGGGGAACAACTCACTTGACACTTCCCTCTAAGGCACCAATTTTCCAACTCATATAAGACCATGACCAGTTACATCAGTGTGTAAAGTTTCATTTCTCTAACTTAAATAGTGTTTGAGCAACTATGTCCCATTTGAGAAGCGAATGTATGGACGGACAGACAAACTCCTTTGTGGAGGAGGATAATAAATGAATGTTTTGAATACAATATGGATAACAACTGTGAGGTACATATTATGGAGAAAGAAATTTAGATTGGCCAATCGGATTGACCCTGTGCACATAAACCTCATGCTGCAAACAAGTTGATTATTTTCTTACTTTATGAAATCTATTGGCAATGCATTGATTCTAAATACCCACGTTAAGACAATCGAGAGTGAGTGAGTGAGTCACATCAGCAATAATTCAGCCATATCATGACGAGAAATTATACGTTAAGAATACATACAGTCAAGTCCCGCTAATCCGACATCGATGGTTGCATATGATTATGTCGGATTTACGAGTATGTCGGATAAACGAAATAAAGTAGTATCAACGCTTGTGATCGCAAATCAGTACAACAACACGATAGATAACGATTGAAACACGTAATAAAAAACTATAAAATAAATATTCATATTGTTATGTTACATTGATGGCGGAATATGTTGTTTAATCATGCAACCTCTAAAGTGTAACACAAAACAACTGTTACGGACAGTATGACTTATTCAAAATACTTTAAAAAGCATAGTCTGGAATGGAAGTTGCAACTTTGAAACTGGTACCGCTGGTTCCTGTTAGTCATTTCATTGGTAAGTCATAGTCGTCATTGTTCTGACGTGACCTGTAATGTCCTCGCCGAAAGCGGGAACTTGTATCTGATTTTAATGAGATTGAGGTAATCTAAGCATGTGATTAATCCTGTTTTCTTTATTTAAAGCGTTAATTGTTTATTGTTAAACAAGCTTGTCTCTGCAGCCGTTGCAATATGCAGCTACCAGCCGACTCGTCTCGCATCAAAACACGTGACTGTGTACTCGCGGGCAGATGACCATGGAGTACGCTGATCACTGTGTCGGATTAACGAGACTAATTAATAAGTGATTTCGGTAATTTGTTGCAAATTAGGTGTGTCGGAGTCGGAGTGCCAGACTGTCGGATAAACGGGTCTAAATAACACTGATTTAATCGGTTCCCAACATTAGTGTCGGATAAAGCCGATTGTCGGATTAACGAGTGTCGGATTAACGAGACTTGACTGTATATTTAGATTAAATTGATGCACAGTAAAATAACTGGAATATCACAGATTACTATTTAAAACTAGCACACAACCAGAAAAAGATATCACTATATGTAACAATACATAATAAAAAAGGGCTATAGATCGCCAGCAGCTGAAGGTAGATCGCCATGAAAGGGTCCATGGGGACTTACAGTACCTTTGCTACCTGCATGGATCCCAGCCGGATGTACATCATCCCTTCTGGTGTTGGCAATTATTGTCAAATTAGGCCAAAATGAACACATATTCTATGATTCAAAATGTGGCAGAGAACAATTACTTCAAAGGACGTGGTCTTACATACCCTCTCTGAGGGACAATCATTATACACTACTTCAAGCCCAATCAAGGGTACAGCCACTAACAATCCAAGTTACCTAATTTCCTTCTACCAAGTGTAAAAAGATCATTTATTAATTACAACACATATGTTTCAAACTTTATTGAAAATTTAATTTCTTTAAAAATAAACAATAATTAAATGGGAATTAATAAATTTAAAAGATCCTTGACAGATCTCGGATGTAACATCTGTTCACAGGTTTATAATTGCTGTATGGAATTAGAAGTGGTTTCATAGATTTAGTGAGAGATGCTTTAGCTGCAACATCGGCCATTGTGTTACCAATGATTCCAACATGGCTGGGTAAACAGCAAAAGACTATGACTTGGCCTGTTGCAAGGTTATTATGTAATTGAATGATGTCAAGTAAAACTGGATGCTGATACAAATTATTGTCACAGCCTGAAGACAGGACAGATAGTCTGACAAAATAATGAATTGCTGATGTTTAGAGTGTTTGATATATTCTAGAGCTGTTAAAATGGCCTCTGATTCAGCTGTAAAAATGGATGAGTTACCTGGTAATCTAGCTGATATAGTTCTGGATCAAACGACAGTGGTGCTAGCAACAGAATAACCATCCTTGGATCCATTTATAAATTTGTTTTAGATTTAGAAAATTTAAAGCCGTTCTGCTCTGCCCAATCATTGAT